GCCGTCTGCACCTGCTTGGAGCGGGAGAAGGCGATCGCGCGCACCTCGCAATAAAGGTCTCCAGCGACCGAACCAGAGCAGCTGCCCTCGCGCCGCCAAGCGGTCGCAGACTGCCAGGGCTGGCCAGGACTTTTTTCCCAGACCTTCGGGAGGATCTAGAAAGTAGATCCCCTAGCTTGGGACCCTAACTGCTAAAGGGACTTTATAGGAACCCTCTTAAGGGATCTACTTTTTGGATCCTCCCGGGGGTCTGGGTTGTCGTCAGCGCGACAGTGGCGGTGGTGGGACTGCACTCACCGCACAAAAAGGTCGATGGCCAGGTGGGCGCCGTTCGCTCCACATTGAACGGCCTGGCGCATTTGGACAAGGACCTTATTAGCATCAGGCCCCATCACACGTTACATAGCAGGTTGCTATCATATGGGGGTTTCCGAAAATAGGGGACCCTAATACAGTCCCCTCAATAATAGGATCCATATTATAAGGACCCCCAAAATAAGGTACCGCTATTTTCGGAAACCCCCATATTGTGTTGCGTCCTTGTCTTGGGGCCTTTGAGTTGCCTCTCGATGCGTTTCACTTCAGAGGGACTTAAAGCCCCGGTTGTCGTTCAGGACGCTAGGGTTTGGGTTCTGTCTGCGCCTCAAGCCACAAGAGCGACGCAAGTTCTGCAGGTGGGTGCAGCGCAGAGAGGCCCTAAACCCCTGAACCCCTAAACCCCTAAACCTTAACCTTCAAATTCCAACGCCCAAGACATCAATGTCAGGGTTTAGGGGTTTAGGGTTTAGGGTTGGCCGGGCGAGCTCCAATCAAGCCTGTGCAAATGGGTAGGGTGTAGGGTTTAGGGTATAGGGTTTAGTTTAGGCTTCAGAGTTTATATACAGAGGACTTAAAAAATTGGCATGGGTTTCGGTGTAAACCATAGTTCGAACTCTACCGAGACCATACGGGGATGCTGATCCTAGTTTTCCACACCCCGCGAGGTGTGACAACTCTGAACCTTCCCTAAACACGCAACCCTAAACCCTGAATCTTCCCGAAACACTAAGCCCTAAACCCCTAAACCCTCAACCCTAAACCCCTCAACCCTCAACCCTCAACTCTCCCTCTTAAAACCCCTTCGGCATCCGAGGCTTTATGGCTTGTCCCCGTCCGAGGACATCAACGAGGAAGAGCTCCTTGGCTCCTTTTCAAGGGGGGTTTGGGGCTTTTAGGGTTTAGGGTTTGGTGTTTAGGGTTGAGGGTTTAGGGTTTAGGGTTCCTTATAAGGATATAGCAGGTGACTACAAGGTTACTTTAAGGTTATTCACGGTTTGGGGTTTAGGGTTTAGGTACTATACGGTTATTAAACGGTTACTAGAAGGTTACCTCAACAAAAGTTTTTAGGATTAGTGTTTAGGATACCTAGTTTTAGGGTTAGGATTGGTTGTTGACCTAGCGTAGTTGTTGTTGGTGTTTTCGTTTTGAATATTATTCAAGGCTTTACAGGGACTGGTAGGATTTTGCAACAGCTTGTAGAGATTGTTAGCATTGTACAAGGGTTGTTGTGTGGTGTGTTTCGCTGGTTGTTGTCCTCAAGAGGTACAGGGTTTTCAGGTTTGGGTTTATGGAGGGTTTAATAGGGTGAAGGCGCGTTGGGGATTGGTCTTGGGGTTTAGAGTCTTGAGTACTCCAGGTTTAGGATTTTGTATCGGATTTCTAGATCTCCGTGCTTAGGGGTTAAATGAGTTCAGGATTCGATGGCTGAGCTTATTTGGTTTCCCGTAACATTCAAAGCGCCCTCCTCTCCTGCGCCCCCACGCCCTCCTCCCGGCCCCCCCAGATTTTGGAATCATAGCGACATCGTTCGAGTAGGGATCCACTACTAACTCTTCATTTTGCAGCCCTCAGCCCTTTAAGTGATTCCTGAGGGTACTCAGAACTAGCCGCCATAACTCTGCTCTTGCCAGCTTCAAGCCGGAGGCTAGGTGCGCAAGATGGGTTCAACATTTGAGTCGTTCTTTCATGGCAAGGAGAAGCTTTCCAGGAACGAAGAATCAGCTATCATGGGCCTCCTTCCTAACATGAAGCAGCTTAGGGTATGAGGTTTAGAGTTCAATGTTAAAGGTTTAGGATGCAGCGTTCTCGGTATAAGGTCTACGTCGGAGTCTACGTACTGCCGTTCCAAATTTGGCTTCCATGCAAAAGTCCCCAAATCACCATATATGATCCCGGTTCGGCCG